CCTGGGTAGAACGGGCCAGCGTGTCCCGCCCCCCTCCCACGCCCATCAGGGAAGGCAGGGGCGGCACCGGTTCTGGACCTGATGTGACCCCAGATAACACACAGGCTCCAGGATGGTCATTTGCCATCGGCTCTGCTTGTCTTCCCCGGAAGCAGAGTTTATTGCAAATGCATGTTTTACAATCACAAATAACATGATGGGAGTGGCTCTGGTCCCAGGCCTACTGTTTACATAATAAAACGTTTTAAACAATGAAGTTAGTTTGCTTTGGACAACAAAGCTCACACAGCATCTCCACACACACACACACACAAACACACACACACACACACTCCACCAGGCCATTGTCTGACTCACCCTTTACTGACTAGACCAGTCCAGCCACATGAGTAGCTGATCAGCACCAGGCGAGTGTCACCAGGTCTTGGAGGGCAAAGATGCAGTGACTTTGCCCCTGTGGGCTTGACCGAAGGTAAAGTGAATACAGGAAGGTGGCCAATGCCTCCAGATGGGGTTCTGGGAAGATATGGGGCCCTCTAGTTCCCAGGCCTCCCTTGGGAGGGGAGACAGGAGAAACTGACACACGCATCAGGCTCACCTGCTTTGGGATGAGACTGCTGGGCTTTTGGACTTGAGATGGAGGGGGAAGTGGTCATTCCTCTAAAGCTGGGCCTGAAAACTTGCATTTTTCTTTCTTCTGGCAGCTCAGGTGCTCCACAAATTCTATGAACAGCCCTAGTTTGTTTGTTTCTTTCTTTCTCTCTCTCTCTTTTGTTTTGATTCTGAATACATGTTTAAAAATCAGACAATCCATTTATTGGTTAAAAATCTGTGGTGCACAGCAATAAGCAGGTTATTTCTACCCTTACATAAATGACTGTGTTGACCTTGTATACAGTCAAGTCTTCCCTCAAATATTTTAGGGAAGAAAACATGGAATGAACATAAATAAGCAAACGAAGAGAATAAAGCTGACCCTTCCTCAGGGGAGTCCTACAGAATCAAACATCAGTGAGGAGAGAATATAGAGCTGGCAATTCCTCCACAATATGTATTTAGATCATAAGAATTTCAAGAAATAGTGGCAGAGAGCAGAGAAATGGACAGAAACCAAGATATATGTATCTTCAAGTTGTTAAGTGATTTCCTTGCTTTTTAGCATCTTTGAACATCACTGGTTTCTAAAACACACAGACAGACACACAGAGCAAGAGAGAAATGCGCAAACTAGGACCCACTGAGCTAAGTCCTCCTCCGCCAGGGCTGGCTGTGTGCGAGAGAAAGAGAGGGCTTTGTTTTCACACCAGCCTGAGGGAGTTTCCAGGCAGAGAGCTCAGGGGTCAACTGACCTTCCCTTGGTGCAAAGAACTGCAGGGGGGACAACCAGTAGCTCCCATAAGAGGCAGAAAATGCTGGAATCGGAGGAAATGTAGTGGGTCCAGCATGGTCATCCTGAGGTCCCCATAGACCATGGGCTGGTGGCCTCTGTTTCCCAGAAGCCCAGGGCTGGAAACGGGCAGCGCGGCTGTACTTCTGGGTGGAGATGAGTGTGTAGTCACACACACACCAGAGTCACACAGAACTTCTCTGTCACTTCTTCCTCACCGGTAAAACTTCTAGAACGTGCATGGCCCCTGCCTCTGGAGAGCAAATGCCTCCTTTAAGCCGCAGTGCAGGGAGTCAGAGCTGCCCCACAGGCCAGGGCGTCACAAAGCCGACTCCAACGTCCCACAGCCCTGCGAGAGGTGGTATGTTTGTGCTTTTCCAGGGAAGGTAAGCGTCTGTCCCCTGGCCCCCAGCACTTCTCCCAGCTGTCGCCAGCTGCCTGGAGGAGGGGGCACCAGGAAGAAAGCCTGCCGGCCCTGCTCTGGGACGTCACCCTCAACCAGCCAACCAGCTACCAAAGTGGCAGGAGCCCAGGGCCTGGCAAGCAGAGAAAAACAGCCAGGCCTAAGCTCCCACAGAGAGGCCAGGAGCCCCTCATCTCAGCGTCCATGTCGCAAATCGACCATCCACCCACGAGCTGATTGCTTTCAGGCAGGCTGCTAACCCTTTCTGTGCTCTGGTTTCAGGGTCTAAAGACATGACCAGGATTTCACGGCATAGGCTTTTGGAAGGAGTCAGGGCCACCTTGCAGGTCCTCAATTTGTTTCTTGCCTCCCATTTCCACCAGAACAAGAGGAGGGGCCGACAGCCTGTGTTCTGGTGGTTGAGCTCAGAGGTAAGCGTTCTCCGAAGGAAGCCTGGGACCCTTTGGGGAAGTGAGGTCCCTCTGTGTGATTACTGTTCTCCATCTGGACGAGGTGGTTGGGTACCAACATGGAAGCCGCTGTGCTGTCACCATGACAACCGTAAGGCAGGCACTGGAGGGTGCTCAATTGCCTGACTGCTTTTCAAGCCTGACTGTTTCTTTAACTGAGCTCCTTTTAGACGGTGAACTTTTGTCTTTTTAATTTCTTTTTAGAAATGAATTCCCCCTTTTTCTTATTTTGACAGACAGAGGCCTTTCTCTTGTAATTGAAACTGAGGGAGAAATGATGGTTTAAGTCCTTCGAATCCGCTCCTCTGTTGGAGGCACCGTGAGCTCTGTCAGCTGGACGCTGGGAGCCGCCTCCCCGCGTGGGTTTGTCCCCCCATGTTCCCTTTCGAGGCCTCAGCGATCTGCTAGAAAGTGGGAGGTCAGCCTGGAAAAGCTCCGAGAGCCTTTCTTTCTAGGATTTGCACCCAGGAGTAATTCATGTTCCAGAAGAAATTAAAGCAAATATAAATTTCCTGGGCTGAAACCAAACACAAAAGTGTTAAACAAAACTTCTCCCTGGGCCTGCATGACCAGGAGTGGGGAAGGGACACCCTCTGGCCGAGCAGGGCACTTGATTTATTCGCTCATTCCCAACTCTTCCAAGAAGGTGGGCCCAGAAGTGTCCTGAGTGTGGCAGCAACAGCGGTGACACTCTGTGGAAGGAGAGGGCCTCGAGGACTCCAGGACCCCCATCACCAGGTGAGGCAGGTGGAGGGCAGTGGTGGAAGGTCATTCTCGCCCCTCAGTCATGAACATCTCCAAGTTCCAGTGACAGAGTATGAGACCAAGACATGGAGGGTCAGGAGGACGAGGGCAGAGCCATCTAAGTGCCACTCCAGTCCGCTCTACCCCTCCTTCTTGCTAAGAGATGCCCATATTGTTGGGGGACATGCTCCCAGATCCCCACGCAGATGCAGAGGAACCATGTGACACCATTCTGACCAGTGAGATGGTGACAGGAGTGTCTGGGTGGGCTTCTGGGAAAGCTCCTGAAAAGTAGGGCTTTTCAGCCAGCTCATTCCACTTCTTTCTGGAACCCAGATGAGAAATCCGGAGGTGGAGCAAGCACATTGGGCCATGAGGTAAGCGTGAGGAAAAGGAAAGGGGGCTGCAGAATCCTTGGCCCTGACGTCCTTGAGCCGAGGAAATGATGCCAACCACTGCCCAGCTCTAGACGCCTCAGGATGAGGGAGGAGCAACACCGCTGGTGCTCAAGTCAAAGTTGGTGGGAGGAGGGATTCTGACGCTTGTAGCTGAATCCAGGGATTGCCCCTCCAGACAGCAACCCACCATCATCTCCCCAGAATATCTAACGTGGCAAGTAGTCTGGGGCTTGTCAGGGCTAATTTCCCCTTTACCAGTGGCCAGGGGTGGGTGACAGGGAACTCACCCAAGGTCACACAGCTCTTAACAGGAGAGCTCCATCTCCACCTTGTTCAGCACTGAGCAGTGTCACTCTGTCACCCAGTGGCTGCAGAGATCTACCCCCACTTCTGGAACGAACTCCCTGAATTCACTGGGTGAGCAGGAGCTGTAGGGACCTCAGTTTCCTCACCTGTAAAATGGGCATAAGATCAGAACACGTCTATAAAGACATTGATAATTCAACATCTGCTCCATTCTGCTTCCCGTGAAAGGTCTATGTTTTAATTCAGCCCATTACCTGCTTTCTGGGGTTAGCTTGTCTCTCCCAGGTCCTAGACTAAGGGAAGTGATTTTTGATAGGGAACATCTTAATTAAAAGAAAAAAAAAAGAAAGGAGGAGGCCAGAACTGAGAGTTTTCTGAGGGGACTGGTATTAGGTACAAGGATGTCAAACAGGTTTTTCTCACATGACAAGTGTGATTGGCTGGCTGTGGCTGCCTGGACTGGTTTTGAGAAGGACTGTGAGGTCTGCTGGGGCTGGAAAGAGGGAGGGGAAGAGCTCGGAGATCAATTACTAATGCCTGCCTTTGTGGATGCAGCAGTCGGGGTGGATGCCCAGGGATTTAATGCTGGGCCTGTGGTCACAGCTCACTGCCTCACCACCTCTCTGTTGCTGACCCAGATGGGTGACAATCATACTGGGGTAAGAGCAGCAAGGGGTGCCCCCACCCAATTTGCTGAGCGTCCATTAGAGAGGGAAGTGGGGCATGATCCTGACTGGGCCAGGGACACAGGAGACGCGCTGGAGGTCACCGTGCTGCCACCAGCGTGTGACATTCAGATAACAGACTTAAAGGAAGCCGCAGTCGTCTCAGGATTCACTGAGCCGGCAGGGACCTCTCCCCACTCCCACTGCCCCCAGGCATGGCCACTCTGGGGGTCAGGTGTCCCTCATCAGGGGAGCAAGAGGCAGCTAAGGTGGGTAAGCTGCAGCCTTGATCATGCTCACTCGTGTTTCTCTCTGCTCCTGCCCTCCCGCCCTCCCCTCCTCCTCCCTCTCTTTCTCTCCCTGCTTCTCTCCCCTGTCTCTCTCTCTCTCTCTCACACGCAGACACACACACACACACACCTGGGCACAGCGGTGATGTTCCCTTCTTACCACCTCTCTCCCTCTGGGGGTCAGAGGAAAAATAAACACACAGAGGTCCCACCGGGACACCCTTTCCACAAGGCACTTTAAAGCTCTTCGCAGTTGGTGCTCAGGAAGCTAGAAAGAAAGTCGTAAAAGTCATAATCGTCTGCACCCACTTTCAGCAAAGGAGATGACACAGTCAGCGGTGGCTGTAGCGTATCATAGCTGTATTTATATGAAAGTAATGAAAATATCAATTCTTTTTTTAAAAAAAATTATGCAAACAAACAGACTCTAGGGCATCATTGTCAAAGTTTAAAAAAATATAGTCACCCCCACCCGCCAGCCCACACGTGACAATGACAATGTCTCCCTCCCCAACACGCAGGACACGTGACACAACTGCCTTCACCTCAAACAGCTCTTTGTTTCCGAGGTCACCTACAGGGGGGCGGCACTGTCCTGCGCAGGGCGCCGCCTGGGGGCAGCAGTGAGTGACCAGGATGGGCTCCAGCCATGCTGTTTCTCGCTGTGTGGCCACGGGTGTTACTTCCCCTCTCTGGGCCTCCACCTGCTCACCATGACGTGGGAGAGCGGGAGTGGAGAAGTTCGAAGGCCCTGGCCACACCGCTGACCTTCTAGGGCTGGACCAACACAACCCAGTGAGCATCTGGGCTTGGCTGCCTGGGCCTGAGGTCGTGGTTCACGCAGCCCCTGATTTTCCAGTAAAGCGGTCAGTCACCTGCAGAGAATGGCCTGGTGGTTTGGTTTCCAGACATCTTGAGAAAAGCATGCTTTCTGAGTCAGCACCAAGAGCCCTTCTCGGCAACACTGTTTTCCTGCCCGGTGAGCACCCAGCGAGTATCCAGCTCTTCCCAGTCACAGGGAGGCCGCTGAGAGCTCTGCCCAGGCCGGGCCTGTGCCAGGAAGGAGGGGTCCGGGCGCTGCAGAGAGCAGTGGGGAGGGGCAAGGCGCTGGGGGGCTGGACCCTCTTGGGTCTTCAGTTTCCCCTCTGATTAAAGGCCTTTCTTGGTCTGAGGATCCCCTCGTTGGTCTTCTCTGTGTAGCTGAACGGACAAAAATCAATTTGCAAAGAGTGGGCACTAAGCATCTTTTAAAAAGGAAAACCTAGTGCTGATTTAGGGAAAATCTGATCCAGCTGTGAAGCACTTAGGAACGGCGTCAGAATTCCCTGGGGAGAAAGGGACATATTTCCAGCCTCAGGGCCCAGCATAGCATCAGCCCGGCCCCTTCCCAGGTGGTGGGTGGGCCGGAGTGCAGAGCCCCTGCAGAGGGGCCCGGTGTGGGGCGCCTGGACCCTGGGTCCCTTGTGGGCACGTGTGTGAGACACTCTTGACCCAGAGGACCAGCTCTCTCCAAAGTCCCTTCTGGAAGGCGGAGGGAGCGCGCCTCAGACAGGCCGAGCTCCACAGCTGAACTGTCACCTCTGTCTTGGACCCTCGATCCCTGGTCCCTGGTGTGGCAGGTGCTCCCCTCCGTTCCTTCAGCCTGAGTCGTAGGTGGTGAAAAACTCAGCCCAAGGAACGCTGCTTCCCCGGCACTGTCGGGGGCACGCTGCACGTGGAGCGTGTGCCCCGTCCCGCGTGGGAAACTTAACGGCAGGCCTTCTCTCCTTTGTTTGCTCCCTGAACAGGGCAGAGAACACACGGAGCACGAGCTGAGCATTTCCTGCAGGCCCAGTGCCCCGACCGCGACCTCCATCGCTGGCCTGGGCTGTCAGGGCTCCTGCATGCACGTCCCCGTCCTGCTCTGCTTGCTCATCTCTGGGTCTGCTCACCGTGGTTCTTCTTTTCCCCCCTTAATTTCATTCTGTCACTTGCCACTTTTCACTGCTGCCACTGGGCCTGCCCGGGATCAGCGCCATTTCTGCTTCTGATCCACAGCACCCGGTCTGCCGTCATCCCAAAGCCTAGAGGAGCCTGGCTGTTCTCACTGTGCGGAAAGCAGGAGCGCCCGGGCTCCGAGCGAGGGCCTGCGCTGTTCTTCCATGTTCACCTCTACGTGAACATCTGGGTCTGGGGCTTGGCTTCTGAGTAGGAGGGGGCCATAAAAGTGACATGTTATGGTTCCTGCTTTCCAGGGCTGACTGCAGACCGAGGCAAAAATGCCACGCGATCCCACTGGACACGCAAACTGCTAGGAGTTTCTCCAACTAGAAAGAGAGGTCATATATGGAGCTATAAATCCTGAGCACTGACATACAGAGCAGATAAAAAAGCTGGCCATTACTCCCATAGTACACATTTAGTATAAACAGACTAAGACAACACTGTATAAAAAGTAATATTGTTTTGGGAACGTCGATACAGTATTTACACGGATGCAGCCCTGCCGGCTCTGGCCTGCCCCGGTTTCCAGTTTCCTCAGCATCCTCTGGAGGAGCCCCGGCTGATGGAAGTTTGAAGAAGAAAGTCCCCTGTGTGCCCGCAGTGGGCTAGGTGGGCGGGGGGCCGTCGTAGCGGAGCATGAGCGTGAAGGAGCGGGCAAAGTTGTTGGCCAGCGTGCAGCTGCGGTCCTCTTCCCCGACAGGCAGCAGGAAGAGCAGCAGCAGGAAGCAGAGCAGGAGCAGCTGCAGCGGGAGCGCCACGCAGCACGCCTTCCGGCAGAGGGAGCTCAGCCCTCGCCTCCGCCGCGCCTGCGGAACCAAGCAGGAGACGTGAGTCTCGGGAGGGGACGGCGGAGGATGGCAGGAGCTGCAGCAGCTCCGGTGGACTATCCCACTGCACAGGCCTCAGTTTTCCCATCTGTGAAGTGGGACTAATGTCAGTTCAGCCGCAAAGATCTCTGGTTTCCTCAAACCACTCAAGGCATGAACGGAGGCGGGGGAAGTTACAGGCTGTGTCATTTATGACATAAAGCCGAATGAGCATGCGTCCACAGAGGAGACCTATCTTCCCACAGGTGCCAGGCGGGGTCAGACCTGGCTCACCCACCAGCTCGGCTCACGTAGGGCTGCCTCAGTCTGTCGGGGCTCTAACTTGACTCCTGAAATTTCACATTGCCTGCTTCCAAGTCTCTGACCCATCCAGGAGAGGGAGAGAGGGTGAGACAACAGGTAGACCCACCCTTACTTGGGTTCACACCACAACTGAAAACCTGTAATTAACCGTCTCCCAAACGGAGCTCAGTTTCCAAGGGTCCTGTTTCTGTTGACTCCTCCATTTTCAGAGATAACACTTTGCTTTTTTAAGTGAAAACTTGTGCCTTGGCCATCATCCCCTGGGGAAAACAACTTTGACAGTTCAAAGCTGTTTTTGCATTTATGTGTTGACGGGGGGGGGCAGCCTTTTTGAAGGACTCCTGCCACCCACCCAGTGTCTATTCACTTGGAGCTCACATCTTCACTTTGAGGCAACCTGGATTCTAAAATGCTCTTTAAACTAGATGACACATTTTAACACGATTCTCAAATGCTCAGAAAACACATGTGCACATGGGCATGTACACACGCAGACATATCAGCACGAACTACCTCTTAAGAAGCCACAAAGAAACTGATCATCTCAGCCCTTCCCAGATCTGGGAGTGTCTCCATGCCTCAGTTTCCCCATAGAAAGCACCACCTGCGTTCTGCCCAGTTAGAACTATCCAAAGAGAAAAGGGGCTTCCTCCATCAGTGATGAGCTCCCATCCCATAGGGTGTGGAGGCCGAGGGTCGATAGCACATGGTGGTGGGGACAGAACAGGTGATGTCGTGCATGGTAACTAAATGCTCGAGAGTCCTTCAAGATCTCCCAGGAACCTGAGAGTCCAGAGTTTTGAGGAGTTCAGGAAAGATGAGTTAATCGCAGTAAATGCCAATCTTCTGCCATTGATGAAAAAGGATATTGGGGAAAGGAAAAGTTTGGAGTTCTGGATTCTAATCCTGGTCCTGTTATTTCCTAGCTGTGTGACCTAGGACAGGTCACTTAGCCTCTCTGAGCTTTAGTGCCTTCATCTGTTGGGGCAAAGGGAGAATGAAACCTGCCTATCAAAGTCAGAAAGGTAAGTGAGGCAGCGCAGGCCATGCTGAACATGCAGTTGGTGCTCAGCAAATACTCATTCCTTTCTTCTTCCAGGGCAGATGGGCAGATCCTACCAGCCCCCTGAGCTTCCCTCTGCAACCAGGTGCCAGGAATCAGATGCCATCAACCTCCTCAGATCCATCAGAGAGAACACTGCCCTCCCTAAATGCCAGCTCTTGGGCCCTTAATAGCCCACACATCCTCCTGCCACAGGGCCTTAGCACAGGCTATCCCTTCTGTCTGGAATCTCCCTCCTTTCTCCAGTGCAGCTGGTTAGTCCCTACTGGTCATTCTAATCTCAATTTGTGAGTCACCTCCTCAGGGGAACCGTCCCTGATCTAAGACAAAAAAAGCTCCATTACACATTTTCATGATACCAGTATTTTTCCTTCAGGTTACTAATTAAAGTCTGTGTCCCCTTACACTCCTTGCAGGCAGGAGCCACATCAGTTTGGCTCATTGCGGTATTCCTAGTGACGTTCAGTAAATATTTGCCTAATGAATGAAATAATGAAGAAAAGGCTCTTTCCCTTCCTGTGCATCTGGCCGTCTGCTCCTCCCTTGGTGCCCGTGGTGTGACGGCACGCTCACTGACCCATCTGTGAACGGTCGGCACTGTCCTGACGGCCCCCCCAGAACACCTGGGCTCCCTGCATTAACGTACACCGAGCACCCCTTGGCCTTGCGCTCAGCAATCCACCTCACTCACGGGCTTCCTGAGTTCTTGCCCTATTCTGGGAGGTGGGCTTCCTTGTACCCATTTCTCAGAGGAAGAAACTGAGCCCATGGGAAATAACCAGCCCAAGGTCACACAGACAGGCTCAAATTGCCAGCGAGGCTCCACAGCCAGGCTCTCTCCACCATCCCACGTGGCATTGTTTCTCATAAGAAACAACAGGCACAATGACAAAAGCCCGCCTGGGCCTCTGCTGAAGCTGGTCCTACCCTGACGCGGGGCCTCGAGTGTGGAAGTCACACTGCATCACCACTGGGGCTTTCAGGGTCTTTCCCAAGAGCTGGCTGGGCCTCATTCTCCAGCACAGAGATGCTTCCAGGTCAGTGCCGAGAGCTCAAGGTGACAGGGAGGGGGCCGGGTTTTCTCTGGCGATCCGAGGTGGGCCAGCACAGTGCCCCTCTCTAAACTCTCACTTAGCAATTAGTGTGGTCCCTGAAGGCCCCTCTGACAGACTGCTGAGCCACCTGCTGGCTGGCTTCCTCTTTCTGGGTTTCCTCTAGGACCCCCAGAAGGGGGCTGTGTCTGGGGTCCACTGCATTGCCCTGACTACTCCAGGGAGCCTGAGAGCGTCCACAGATCCCCCCGCTGGGCCCTGCCCATGACGCCTTGAGTGTCTTCACTAAGCGCAGTTACAACCCAAGACTCGCTTCCCAGGAGCGTTCAGAGGCCGCAGAGAGTACCCACCCAGGGACGGGAAGGCAGCGCCTGCCATGGGGCTGGGTTAATGTTTATCTCCTGGCTGGGGCGGCTCTGCATGCGATGGTCAGGCCCCAGGACTCTTTCTCCAGACCCTTGGGCTGGCTTTGGAGCAGGATGGAGATGAAGAGCTGAGCTGGCCTTTTGGAGGTGGTTTGGTTCATTGGTGGGAGGTGACTCTGGATGGAAAGATCGGAGTGTCGTTACTGAAGTGAGGACGGAGCCTCATTCGGCAGCAGGTGTATGGGCACAAGTCTCCCTTTCCCTCCTTCCCTCTTCTTTCCTCATCTGAGATCCATCCATTACCAGGCTCTTCTGAGCCTAGGGCAGAACCAAGGGCAGGGATGGTCTAGGGTGACCCAGAGGCACCTAGCTTGGAAGACTGGGTAGTGACGATGCTTCACTGATATGGGGACCGAGGTTTGCTTGGGTGCAGGGAACACAGTGGGGTCAGCTTTAGAATGCTGAATCTGAGGGGTCTCCTGAGCAGACGTCTTGCAGGCTTGGGCCTCAAGACTGAAGCTAGAAGGAGAGTCCCAGACTGCAGATGGACAGAGGGCGTGAGAGCCCCAGAGTCAGGGAACGATGCCAGGCCAGGGGAAGGAACCGCCAGGGAGAGGGTGAGTCATGAGAGGGAAAGGGACCCTGGAGAACCCAGAGGGTGCGACCATGGGAGAAAGAGGTGCTGTATTTCCAGGTTCTCTGAGCAGCTAATGCTTATTATTTATAAAAGAAATGAAAGCAGATTTACAGGCAAGAAATCCAATAGCCATCACCTTAATCATGTAATCAGAATTAGCATCACCAACATTGGAGGCATATGGACATCGTGTGTCTCCCAATAAAATGCACTAAGAACATGGCAACAGGGGGAGGTGGGTTTAGCTCAGTGGCAGAGTGTGTGCTTAGCATGCACAAGGTTTTGGGTTCAGTCCCCAGTACCTCCATTAATAAATAAATAAACCTAATTACCTACCCCCTCAAAAAAAAAAAAAAAAAAAGAAAAGAAAAGAATACGGCATCACTTTTGAGACATTCCTGCCAGCAATGCTCAACAGGGAAATGTGGGGAAAACCCAACTTGAGGGACACTCGACAAAACATCTGGCCTGCATTCAAGGTCAAGGTCAAGAAAAACAGAGGACTAATCCCAGCTTAGAGGAAACTAGAGCGATGTGACAACTGAATGTAATGTGAGCCCAGTCTGGATCCCAGACTGAGGGAAAATAAAAGGCTATAAAAAACTGAAAACTTACATCCTTACAATGGAATATTATTCACGGAGGAAAGGAAATGAGAAAGCAAGTCACAAAAGGACATGGAGGAAACTCAGATGCATTTTGCTGGTGAAAGGAACAAGAGAAGTGGTTGCTAGGAGCCCTGGGGGAGGGGAGAGGGAAGGGGCGGAAGAGCTGGGGAGAAGGTGAAGGCAGTGAATTCGTTCTGTGTGACACTGGAATGGGGGACGCATGTCAGCATACATCTGTCCAAGCCTACAGAATGTGCAACAGAAAGAGGGAACCCCAGTGTCGACCATGAACTTCATGGAGTCCCAGAAAGCAAGCTTCCACACCAACGCATGATGCTGATGTTAGGGAAAACATGGGAGACGTGGGGAGGAGAGGGCACATGTGGGGACTCTCTGATCTGCTCAGGTTGTCTGTAAATTTGAAATTGCTAAAAGAAAAAAAATATTAATTTTTTTAAGACTATTGAGACAGCTTTAAAATTCTGAATATGGACCATGGATTAGGTAATAGTATTTCATCAACACTGAATCTTATTGACACTGACTCTGATAACTGAAAATAATAAAATAAGACAGAGAGAGGCCCCCGTGTGAACCCGGGAAGGGCAGTCAGAGCAGCTATGAGCGGAGAGTGTTGTCATCAGCCCCAGGGCTGCCCAGAGGCCAAGTGGATGAGGACAGAAAGAAGATTGCTGGGCTGAGTGGAGAGGTAGCTGCTGGTTACCTCGCTGGGATGAAGTTCAGAGGAGTCGGGGGTGGAAGGCAGGCGGGCTGAGCAACGGAAGGATGAAGGAGAAAAAAGCGCAAATGTAAAATACCACGTCTCTGGATGTCAATAGTCAAAGACAAGTTTCAAGAACTTCAGATCCAAGGTGCTAGCGTGGATTCTTCCACAGATCAGCAGTGGCCAGTAGCTTACGGGCTCAGTGGATGGATGGGAAGACAAGGGATGATGGAGCAGGTGGTTGGAGGCCCATTCCTGGCCTCTCCTTGTGAAGGTCAGAGACAGCACAGCCCTATGCAAAGCCCAAGTCTTTGGCCAAGGAAGACCCAAAGTTGACCAGTCCCCAAAGTTGCACAGTGAGTCACAGAGGTACAAAGTCAAGCTATGTTCCCTCCGCACCCACCCAGATCTGGCTCACTGTCACATGGAGAAGGGACCAAGAGGCCACTCTCCTCCCACTACAAAGGAGAAGGTGATTGCAAGTGTCAAAGACCAGGCAGGGGAGTGTCCCAGCTGTGCCTAGCGCATAGTAGGGACTTTTAAAAAAATCATAGCTAATGTGAGAGAGTTATTACCTAACATGGAAAACTCATTAATGCTTTCTGAGATTCAGTATCAAAAACATTTCATCTGCTCTACGATGCTGACTGTAAGGTGCACCATTATTTTATATCCCCCTAAGAAAGGAAAAAACCCAACAAACAAGCATTGATTGGAGACCCCACAGAACACTGGGGCACCACGGGGCTACACCTTCAGGGTGGAGGAAATAAAGCTAATCCTCCCTGCCCCGCAGTAACGGGAAGCAAGGAAATCCAAGGTCTTATCTTGGCACCGGGTGAGGGCGGGAAAAAAACTCCACCCCGAGAACTTGAACCTCAAGGCTGGAGCTCCCACAGGTTGGTCTAAACTGACACCGTCAGTGTGGTCCTCAGGAAAACAAAGCAAGACACAACCCGCAAGCAGAGATTTTAATTTAAAGAAATCTCAGGTGGGTAGTGTCCTGGGTGGTGGAGGGAAGGAGATCCCAATCCTCACCGGAAGAACGGGATTGTAATAAAC